CTATATTCAAAATGATGCGTATGGCGTCGACTAAGATGAAAGCAGCACGCACAACCGACAGACCACTTCCTCGTTGTCTTCTGACCGCTGATACGCCAGCTATATATATATATATATATATATATATATATATATATATATATATATATATATATATATATATATATATATATATATATATATATATATATATAGTGTGTGTGGTTACTGTGCACATATACAAGTTAAATTTCTCAAAACAAAATGCACCACTGCCTGCCTACACTTTTGACAATAAACGAACTACACGTATATTACAAAACATCGTCATAAATTTGCTGAATTGCAATGACGTTACGCCGACAGAATATTCCGAAAGCAGCACAATTTAGGCTGTCACCCCAAAATGAGAACTGGTTACAGTGAATTTATGCAGATTGTTAACGGGCTATATTTACAACTCGCACTTTTTATTGTGTTCAAGATAACCTCTTTTGCGTAGAGTTCATGACTCGGAGGTACACTCGTTCCTTCAGCTCTGCTCCCTGGTTTTTAAAGCTTGCATGAAAGAAGCAAAGTAAGCGCGAAAGTACGCGGTTAAAACCAGATAAGCCTTTCAAAAAGCATTATTTATTATCTTCCGCAAAACTGGCATGGTAAAACTGAGTCGTCACCGGTATGAATGTTGTGACGACGTTATTTATACTCGGGTTTCTCATGAAACAATCGAGCGCAGACTCGTATGAGAAACAGTGCTCTGGATATTGTAGAGACTGCCGACAAAACGAGCGTATGATTTAATCGCGGTTCTGATACTTCTCCTTTCTTTCTAGTTCGCCAGTAGCCACTTATGGTGCAGCGAAAGCGCTGCTTGAGTGAGAAGCTAGGCGGATCCGTGCGAACACCGAATGCACATGTTTTTTTTTGTGTGTGTGTATTCATTCGTGCACCATGGTGTGTAGCAGATGTGCATACACTTATGAAGGGTCACCAACGCATTAAACGCGCTAAAAACGAGCATTTACTCGCTTTCGGAGGCTACGGCGCACGCGCTTCCAAAGTATAGTGAACTAGTTCACTGTACCCAATGCAGACACTCCCGATATCTTCAGTACCACGTGACTACAGCGCCGCCTCTACTACCACCCGCCGGAGATTCAGCCGAGATGCGGCGTGGCCGCCTCGTTCATTCTAGAGGTGCTGTATGCTAAGCATATACAGTAACTCTACCTCATTACACTGCCCCCTTTTAGTAAACTGTAGTCTGGCTTCAGTATTCGTCCCGAGATCGAGCGGAGTAGCCGCCTGGTGGACATTGGCTGAAGCATGCTTAGAGTGGGTTGCTCCCTGCGTTATCTGCTAGCCGGTGTTCTGTGTGCTAGCCACTTAAGTATTGGCGAGGACATCAAGTTCATTCTCAAAGGGCGATTTGCCCGCTCTATTAGCGCAAGTGTATCTGCCTGTACGTTTGTCTAGCATTATCTACAGAATCATTTGGTCTTGCTGAAGATGAAGAACAACGACTCAAAAGACCGTGCTAAGTCCCTGGTGGACCGGCAGAGGCCAACTGTAGTCCTGTACATGCACAAGGTCACATGCAGCCTGAAAAAAGTGGCTAGTTGATTCAAGGTGCCTTTAAATTTCTCCGCCCCGAAGATGCTCGCTCAGCTGAGCCGGCGCACCACACTTGTGGAGCAAAAAGAGGGCTGCCTCAAAAAAAAAAAAAACATGAAAAACGTTTTGTGAAGTGTGCCAACAATGCCGTGGACAAGATATCCCTGTCCTGCGGCAAAGCCTACATCGGCCAGACAAAGCGCTGCTTCAATAATTGACTCAGGGAACACGAAAAAAATCTAGGGGAGGAGTCACGTTGTTGACCACTGCTTGGCTAGCCCGCATTGTGAACCGCGATTTAGCTGTGCGAAAATCCTAGGCAAAAGCAGAAATAAAACGGCTCGCAAAACGCTGGAAGTATTTTTTTATTAAACAGCATGTGAAGAATCCGTAAGTGAAACCTATATTGCGTTGTACATGGCTAAATTTTAATTTATTTATCGTGTGGTTTAAATTTTTGTGGTTGTTGTGGCGGTGCCCCTGCGCAGGATGTTGATATATAGGTGTGCATCTCCCTTAGAATGAGTCCTGTTGATAGTTTGTGCCGGTCCTCGCCAGCCTCATCGTGTGCGTCGTTGCAAGGACCTGTTTTCTGTCTTACTGATTCCAAGTACTCTAAATCGTTACCCACTTTTTCTAACCCCCCCCCCCCCCCCCCCCCCGCGTCGTGTTTTGTTGCGCACTCACGATGGTTTCATACATTTGCCGAATGTGCTGTGTATAGTCGTCAATCCTTCCGGACGCCCGGATCATTTCGGTGTAGATGCCACTTCGTGAAGTGCACTTGGCGTCGTCGTAAAAAGTAAGATATTGTTCAGATGCAGTGATTTAGCGGCTCAGTGACACGCGAAATTTCGCTTGTTGTAAGGTTTCTAATTGCGGTGCCTATTCAACGGTCCTGGTTCCACTATACAACGAACTGTGTCTGTCAAGTAAATTCTGACATTCCGGTACTTATACTGTTATTTAAACAGAACAGAAATTATGGAGTGACACGAAGGTGATAAAACTCGAGTCGTGATTTGAACATTGGGCGACTTTTTATGCAGTCACAGTCGATTTGAGTTCACCTTAAAGAATATGAATCCAGACAGCGTGCCTCACAGTTACGCCATATAATTTCACGCTAAACGTAATCTTTTCTTTTTCATTACTTTGAGTTGTTTTGTGTCGTTATAGACCAACGGAAGGGCGGACATTATTTGATAAAAAAATAATAATTTTGTCTCATAATATAACCGAGCCTTTGTTGGATCACTTTCCATGCTGATAATCAATCGAAGAAAGTTGTGCGCTAAACCGTTTTATACTGTTATTGGAGGAAGGACAAGCACGCTAAAGTGCTACATATCAGCTGCCCAGCTTAATTTCCTGAATAATTTTATGACCTCTCCTGCTTTATTTATGGAGAAATGAATAAGAAAAAAAAATGTGGATGCGTATTCGCGGTTACCATATTTGAGCTCAACGCTCAAGAACATGGAATTTCTTCTTACTTTTTTTAGTATCCAAGATGAGCATACGTGAAGCGAATAAAACTCAATCGCACTACAGCACTGCGTAGTAGGCGGTCCACAACCTCAACACTAAAAAATAAAAATACAAGAAACCTGATATAGTGCGAAAACGCAGTCTCCAAGAGCGGACAGTCCTTTCAATGGCATATTGCGTTTTGTGAATCCATTCGGCAATGGACAACACGCAAAATTCGAGTAGATTGCAGCGAACGCATTTCATTCGGGGACAATCCGCTGGCACCGCCCACACACACACACACACAAAAAGCGCCGCTGCGTACATTTGTATGCGCGCCGCCGCGGCCGCCTATACACACAAGGCCCAGGTGACGGTGCTGCCACCCGAAGCCCGCATTCGGGGTGATAACTACGCGTTGGCAGGCCTCCTCTGCACCCTTTTGCTACAGTGGCTAGGAAGGTACTTTTGCTGTGCTCACACATTTCAAACGGCGCCAGGTATCCGTAATTTTCTAATTTTAATTACTTTTTTAATGAACGTCAGAATTAGACCATGCGGAGGTTCTGCGAATCAGGACTGAGTGATGCAAGTTATCTTTATTATATATACGCAATAATAGTAATAATAATAATAATAATAATAATAATAATAATATACGTGGTTTAACGTGCCGAATCACGATATGGTTATGAGAGAAGCCGTAGTGGAGGGCTCTGGAATTTTTGACCATCTGGCGTCCTGCACTGGCATCGCACAGCACACTGGCTTCTACCATTTCTCCTCCGTCGAAATGCGACTGCAACGGCAGGGATCGAGCCCGCGACCTTTGGGTTAGTAGCCGAGAACGTCATATGTACCGTTACACCAAAGCGTGCAAAAGAAAACTGGCGCACATATCACTCGCATTGTTCGCACGATGTTGGTGACCTTGCGGTTCAGAGGCGGGCTGCTTTCGCGTTCATAAATACGCGAGCCATATGGCGCTCTGGATTGGACGGCAATATGTGCCACGGCTGATCGCCAATGTTTTCATTAATGCAACAGGACGTGATGGCATTTATTGATTGATTGATTTATTTAGTAATACTTCCAACCCTCATGGCACAACAGAAAGGACAATATACAATGAGATGCAATTCCGCCAATTACTGCATAATACAGTACAATTACGATTACTTACATAAAAAGTTGGATAATATTTGGCACTTCAGAATGCAAATAAGTATTCTTTTAAATGACAATTCAGAATAACAAATAGCTATTGAGAAGAACAGTTCAAAAACAATACAAAATTTTTCGGCGTATTTCAAATACCATGGACATGCATAAAGTAGGTTGCATGACTTCGTACAAAAAAAAAAAATTAAATTGGACAATGTCGTAAATGCGCCTCTATGGTATTTCCGAAGCCTGTAACATCTTTTAAAACTACAATAGCGTTTGTTCCACATTTCAATGACATATCCGAGTAGAAAGGGTGTGGAAATGCGTCAGTATTTGTTTGGTATTGTTTTGAGACCCAGTCGTGGTTAGTTCGAGAATATGTCTTGCCCGGTGCATGTAAATATTTTAACTTATCAACCTTAAGTTGATCGTTTGGAAATATATTTATACGTGAGCGATTATAGTTAGCGTGCACATTGTGTCATTGTCTGGTGACCTATCACACGCTAACATATATTATTTGATTACTAATATGATATTGTAAAATGCCCCCATGAGAATTAAACAAAAACTTTACTAGTAAAAAAAAGTTCTCTGCACAGTTTTCGGAAAAAAATGGACATAGGACGTTAGATCATTGAAAAGAAGCAATAAAGCAATTACAATGAAGTACTGATGCACAATTCCTTAATTACGGCACCGGTAGGAAAGCATATTGTCTCGCAACGCATCTGCAGACGAGGTGGTAGATAACGCATCGTACGTACCATCCAGAGCAGTCGACGCATTGCGGGTGATGCATTTATGCGGTGAAGCGAATTGGGCCCTGAAGAACTGCCGTGCCACAAGTGCCTTGCTAATAATACCCATGGCTGTGACCAATTATTCGACTGAAATGAGTGTGCGTTCCTTCGTTCTTGAATTTTGAGCAAAGCCCGGTCCAAGCAACGCGCACGATTTTTATAGGATCTCGGGACGATGGTGCAGCCATCTGTCGGAAAACGCGGTAAATAGCCATGCTGCAGTCTGAAACACTGTCACTTTCACAAATGCGAGCTCCCGTGAGCTGAGGCTATTTTTACGAGACGTTTCTGAGGCAGCCTGGTTTTTTACCAAAGAACACGCACGCCTACTGCCACGAACTATTAGCGGTTAAGCCACGTCTGGGCGAACCTTTGAGGAACGAACTCGACGGTTTCGCCGCGTCTTCGAATTTCGTGCGGCTGCTCTGCGGTGGTTCCTGAGTTGCAATGTTTGACTAATCGCTGGCGTAAATGGTCTCCGATATCTTCCTCATGATTACGCCGTCAAGTGTGTTTTCTTAAGAACACGCCGATCCGCATTAACAACGTGAAACTCCCGTTTCTCCAGAACAAAACGGTCGTTATACCGTCAGCGTCCGCAGCCACCGCGCTAGCAGAACACAAGCTGTAAAAAGGAGGGAAAATTGAACACCCCTAAAAGCACTTCAAATGTAGAGCCTGGGGCCACGTGTTCCCAAGTGTCAAGTGTACGTTGGGGTTCCTAATGAAATGTATTAAGGACGAGCAAAAGTTTTGAGAAGCCTCGGAAACTTTTTCTTGTGAGGAGTTTATGCAACACATCAGCGTTTGACAAACGAGCTCGGAAAATCATGGATTTCCGCAATTTTTCGCGCTGCTGAAATTGCCTCCGCCTTTTCAGCATGATCTGGGGACACGGAAGCATCGCTGGCAATATATTAAGGACGTTCCGCGTGTTTTTCCTTTTCTGAAATGCAAAACTACCGACTCGAGCAGAATCTACTTCAGGGTTGCCGAACCCGGTCGGCGCGAAACCTGCTTTGTGCGAATTTTTTCGCGAAGTTTCGCTTTTCATGAGATTCGTGTTTCGCATCTCGATCATGCAACGCTGTAATTTCGGCTGTTACGGGGCGCGCTAGTTTGTTTGCAGAGTTCGAGAATATAATCACTGATGGTGAATTATGAATCAAATTGGTATTACTACATACACTATGCGGAAACGTGCGCTACAGATATGTTTCTGTTCACAACGCATATTTTGCGACCTGCACAGACGAGGAAACACATATGCCGTACAACCATGCGTACAACTCTCAACGCTTCTCCCGAGGCTCCAGTGTACTGTACCCGAGGCGTTCAAACCCATTCTGAAAGTCTGCACCTAGCTTTATATATAGACACATGTACACATGCATATGAACACACAAGTGTATGAGTCTTCTTAATTTTTCGCATTTTTGTGTGCATCTTGTACATTACTACCATGATTTTCATTAGGGTAGCCGTTTTTAACGTAGCATACGTTCCCATATTTTTTGCCAAATCTCCCCCCTCCCCCATATCGAAAATGAATTTTCGACTATATGTCTGACGACATTTGCAGTTGTTTTTTTCCCTCTCATTCACTTTCATCGCATGATTGGTATTGCATTAGGACAAACGCTAGGTGCCTAATTGTCACACAATCCACTGCATCACCAAAAAAGAATTTCTACTGAGCTCGCTTGCTCACTTTACGAAAGTTATGTGACAGTTTAATTTCGTTTTGTTCTTGTTGACCTTCTCTTGCGGTTCGTACCCACTGTGGGGGATTGGCCAATAATTGGGTGGCCTTATGAAATATTATTCAGTTTTATAGTAAATGAAAGCATAAAATAAAAAATGTCAAAACTTTAGAAGGAAAATTTGATGCCCACTGAAATCTACCTAATACAAAGTTTTTGTATTAGTAATTGATAATAACCCAAATAGAAACCTAACATAAAAAAATAAGAAAAGTTATGCGTATGTTGACACAAAAGGATAATGACATAGATTAGTTTGCTAGTCTTTTGGTTTCAATCAGATAATTCCGCACTGCCACGCAATTTCTTTTTTTTTTTTTGCACTGGCAAAGTGTTCTGTTTTGTCGTCGAAATAAAATTCTTCTTCTTCCTCCTCTCATGGCTCACGCCCAGTGCAATAGATTGGCCGAGTAGTAGTTGATTTTGTTCAGTATTTTTTTTTTTTTGCATACTTTGGCTCATACCCACTGTTTTTTTTTTTTTTTTCGCGTTATTCGATGACCAAAGACATCACAGATAAAATGTTTGAAGCAATAGTACATTTCCATTTCCACCGTAGAGGTGAGACAAACGCCATGACAGCACAATGTTTTCGCGTTAACTTGTAGACAAACATCCCACTTTTGCTTTCGACATTCTCATCATCAGCTGAGTGCACAAAATGGCGGCCTGTGTCGTGACTGCTGTACGATTGCCAGCGGAACACGACCTTGTATGATGCTTTCTAACGGGGCGGACTAAGTGCTCAGTGCGGTGCCCCGACTTTTCAGCGTAACTGCTATCGTGTACTGCGTTTTTGTGTGCGTGCGTGTGTGGTGTCTGCATCGTGTTGGGGCGTTGCACTTTGCGTATGCCCGCTTCTTCGCCAATTCGGCTAGAAGTAGTGATGGAAGGATGCGCAACACACTTGCCTGCCTGCCTGCAATATTCTTCTGTTGAGCACCGAGTTCACTCGCAGCACACGGCGCATTCGCTGTGGTAATCCAAAACCGGATAAAATGCAGCGCTGAAGCAAGTATCAATCGACACGAAGCTGGCGTTACTGAATTTTTTTACTAGGTCATTCATACCTGTTCAGTTCTGGCTGAGCCATAATGTGCCCACGGTTTTCTTTGTTACAGGCAGTGTTCCATTGAATAAGCCATGGCCGCTGGATAAAAATAAACGGGAGTTCTTTTTTTTTTTTTTTAATCCAGCGGCCATGAGTGAGCTATCGGGTACTTTTTGATTGAGTGATTGATTGATCAATATGTGGAGCTTAACGTCCCAAAACTACCATATGATCATGAGAGACGCTATAGTGGAGGGCTCCTGAAATTTCGACCGCCTAAGGTTCTTCAAGGTGCACCCAAATCTGAGCACATGGGCCTACAACACTTCCGCCCCCATCGGAATAATGCAGCCGCCTCAGCGGGGACTCGATTCCGCGACCTGCGGGTCAGCAGCCATCGTACACTTTGAGATGCGCTGATTGCACATGGAAACAAATGAAAGGCAGAGGTAGGACCCACACAAGCGTGAACTGACAACTTTATTCGATGGCCTAGATGGTGGCCTGGATGTCCGCTTCCACTGAGGGGAATTAGTGAGGGCATTTGTTATTTACTTCCTTCTCACCTCTGCATGATCGTAATTGTGTCATTATTATCGTCATCGTGTAGGTGCCTGCTCTGCCCATTTGTTTTCTGAGGTCTTATCTTGAATAAATGCCGTCGCAACCAAGGCATCATAATACAGTGACTATCCTTGCCTTTTGCTGATTTGTCCTTTTCTGGCCAGCTTTTTGTCAATTTTTGGAGCCCTCCACTACAGCAGCTCTCATAATCATATGGTGGTTTTGGGACATTAAACCCCACATATCTATCGAGCTTTCTGGGCTCTGATCGAGGGAAGCTTATGGAAGCTCACCACCACTGCTAATAAGATTTACAAAGTGTCGTACTTTGACTGTATCCTGACAGATGCACAAACTTAAAACCTATTAGCTTGTAATACAAAGCATATTTAGTTCAACAGCTTGCAATCACACTCTATTAAACTAAAAATAAATACAAAGGTGCATAATAAAGTGCGTTTCTGAAAATTTTTCACATTTGACGAAGCCCCGTGCATGATGTCATGTTCTGAGACAAACTGCCATCAGCGAGTTTGCATTCCAGGGTACTCGTGCATTTGCTGCACCATTTACAAAGGTAGTATAATTTAGGTGCTAGTAGTAGGGGTATCTACGTTCCCAAAATTTATCATAGCACAATTTTGTTCCTAGCTATGCAATAATATAAACCATGCAGAAACTGCAGCACCACACTGCTTTTGAAACATGCATTATCGGACACTGTTCCTATCACCTTCCTGACTGTTGTCTTAAATGTACAACGAAACCACTTATAGGCCATAAACACATGATATATGAGGTTTAATGTCCCAAAACCACTATATGATTATGAGAGATGCTATAGTAGAGGGCTCCGAAAATTTCGACCACCATAGGTTCTTTAACATGCACCCAATTCTGAGCACGAAGGCCTACAGCATTTAGACTCCAAAGAAAAAATGCAGCTGCTGCAACCGGGATTCGATCTTATGACCTGCGGGTCAGCAGCCGAGTACCTCAGCCACTAGACCACCACGGTAGGGCAGGCTATAAAAATAGTGCATCTATTACATGGCAGGGTCATATAAAGTGGAGTGGTAGGAAACCTGCGCTAACTGGAAACTACTGTGCCACACTGCTCCAATAGGGTCTTTGTCTAATTTGTGCCAATGCTGCGCCACAACCTGGTTCTAAAACCAGAATTGATTTTGACAACATGCATCGTGAGCTGATATTACGTGGTGGTTGCCATCTTTTACACATGCGCTGCTGTATCACAGATTGAGGGGAAACTGTACCATTGACAGTGCAACAGAAATAAGGGTAGCAGTGGCGTTGTGAACTAACTTATCTGACCTAAAGATGGCATTGATAAGACTATCGTCATTATTTCTCTGGGGCAATATGGCAGCTGCATCGGTGGCGGGTGTGGGTCGTCGGCAGGGGCGGATTATCAAGGGTTTGAATGAACTGGGCCCTCCGATTTCAGGGCCCCTTCCCAAGGGCCAGAAAAAATGACCGACTTCGTCGTTCGGTTCGAAAAAGTTTAACCCTCCTGCTGGATTCCCCTGATAAAAGAAATCGTCTATTTCAGTAATCAATATGCATGCTTCCAAGTGGTTGTTCGTTGCATATTGTGCATAATCTTGAAGTTAGCTCACACTTCTGCAGTCTGTGGTGAAAACCTTTTACTCGCTCAAGACCATTCATTGTGTAGACGGAAGGTGATGATCCAGCGGGTGGACATGTAGAGCAGCAGCCTGACAAGGATTT